ATGGTATTTGTTGACTTTAATTGTAAGAGTTTGTCTTCACGACAATACTCACCGAGGTGTATGAAATATTATATTCTATTAATTATAATTAAAATTTGTTTTCCTTCTCAATAATTATTTATTTAAATAATATGCTGATTATATTATTTTTATAATTCATATGCATGCAAATTAGTTTCAATCTAATAATTTATTTTATTAGTTAAAAAGCAGAAAATTAAAAAATTTAAGGCTTTGTCGGACCTAAAGCCTAGCAGGTCGGGCCAGCGGGTCGAGTTTGATATTATATTCTATTAATTATAATTAAAATTTGTTTTCCTTCTCAATAATTATTTATTTAAATAATATGCTGATTATATTATTTTTATAATTCATATGCATGCAAATTAGTTTCAATCTAATAATTTATTTTATTAGTTAAAAAGCAGAAAATTAAAAAATTTAAGGCTTTGTCGGACCTAAAGCCTAGCAGGTCGGGCCAGCGGGTCGAGTTTGGGAAGCAGTTGAATCCAAACAACTGGGCTCAAACTCAAACTTGTATAATTTGGTCCCAAGAAGGCCCAGCCTGTCCAACTCATTCTCTTAGCTTGAATCCAACTCGTGGCTAAGTCTAGGTGTGATGAGGTAAATGACATCTAGACTCAGATGACTAATTGCCTCTATTAAGCTTATTCTTCATAATCAACGAGAACATAATTTTTTCTTCTCCCTTACATTTGAACATGGTATCAGAGCAAGTTCTCGAATCTAAGAATCTTCAATCTTTCTTACTCCTCACTGCTGCTGCCTTGGGGACTCTCCACAAACACTCCTGCCCGTTAAATAAATTGTCGTTGCACCCTGCACCTCCATCTAAGAAGGGCGTTGCCATTGTGCTTGTTCCACTTTGGTTACTCGATGCATTACTATTTCCCTGCATATGTACTGATTTTTTAATTTTATTTACCTGGATATTTGGCACGTGCTTATTTGGTGCTTGGAGATTTGTTGAGATCGATGGCCTAAAAATTGGTATGCTTTGTTTTCACCTACAAGTGTTTGATCTGCTGCTACTCTCGGCTATCAGAATTTTTATAGGGATATCCTTCGATTCTTCCACTCGGCTTAATTTTGTCCTTTGGATCTTGACTGATAATTTGCAGTCCTCTCTCGTCTTATTGCCGGCCTCCTCTCCGGATATTGGCATTGCTTTTTGTCAAAGGGGTTGTTTGTAATTTTCTTATTGACCTTGAGGGATAATGCTCGTCACTACAAATTGTGGGGTAATAACGTCTTTACGTAGTTAAGAAAAAAATTAAAGTATTATGGTGGATTTATAAAATTCTCAAACTTACCGAGGTTTCAAATATTTTGTGAGCGTGGCGCGAAATGATTAAAGTTGTTGGAGGTGTAATGAAACTACATTATGCTCGCTTAAGGTCTTGCTGATTGATGTGTTTTGATAGATTTGACGGATGGGGAGGAATGAAGGTCTGAGTTAAACGGATCTATCCCTCATAAATAATGAGAAATTGGCAAACCACTTGTAATAACTGCACAAAAGACTAAGAGCATCTCCAACAGCTTCTTTAAAATTTTCTCCAAAATGGGGAAGCAAAAGTAATATTCTCCAAATTATTTTTACACCAACTCCAATAGCTTCCCCATTTTGAAGAATCTCTTTTTTTCTCCAAAAATTTGGAGAATGCTGCAGATTTGGGGAAGCTTCCTCATTTTTTCTCCTCCATCCCTATTTTGGGGAATGAGATAAGGAATCTATTGGACCAAACACCTAACTATATTCTCCAAAAGTAAGAAATAGAGAAGCTGTTGGAGATGCTCTAACACATGAATAAAAAATTGTCACGTTTCTCCCATCCTATATTTAATTAAGCATCATCATCAGACTAAAACTATCCATGATTAGAAAATTATGATAATAAGATAGTTGATAATCTTAATCAATTTATAATTATCCATAATCTAAAAAATATCAAATAATCTACAATAATCCATAGATTTCAAAAATTATCACGCGCCCCTCCTTAACAAATTTTAAAGGGATTTTGTTGACATACACTCCAAATTAATCATCGTAAATGCTTCCCAAGCCTTGATATTAGTTAGTCACTTAAGTCTGCCCCATTTCTTTGTTGAGATCTCACCAAGTGAAATTTGAAAATGTCTAAAATACGAGATGCTTATATAGAGGATACAAGATTACGTTACAGGCTATTCTGAACGGAGCGCAATCTAAACTGCTCAAATTTAAATGACATTAATTGGAACATTTTATTATGCATGTACGCAAACGTATCCTTCCTCAGCTCTCTGGCAACAAATTAAAGTTTGAAACTCATTCAATTTTTAGGTTCAACTCTTTGAGTGGCCCTTGGAATATCTTCTCCCTCCGCGGTCTGAGTACAAAAGGAAATAAGAAATAATCAAAATTCAAAAATCAAAGGCAAAAATAAAATAGATAATAAATAAGTTAAAGTAAAAGAATAGAGATATGATTAGTTCTGCTATAAACATTTTGTAGAATGAGGGGGGAAAAAGACCTTTCCAGTGAATTCTTTGTGAATGATACACTGCGCCAAACAATTTCCCACGCAACCAACTGTTGAAAATTTCAGTCGGCAAGCTAGAAAACATGCTTTATAGCAAGAACCAAAGCTAGCAGAGCTCGGTGCAAATAGGGAGAAGATGACGATTGCGACGATTAATGTTGCCTTCACCATTGAAATAAATAGACCAATCTCTGAGAAAAATAACATCTGACTGAATAGAAGTGTCTCGACATTGAAAATTAAATAAAATGATATTTTGGCACATCGGCTTTACAAAACTAGAATAATAACTAAAATGTTCATAAACACATCTACTGTGGAGTTTTGACATAAACTACTAACAATATAGATAAATAACTGCTAGAGTAACTCCATCAACCTTCAGCTCTCTATGCACCTGGCTCGTTACCTAAAAGTGGGGAAACAACAAACGTCAAGCGCTAGCGAGTAACATCTCAACCAACCCCGGGGGAAGGGCTAGAAGAATGAGAAAAATAGCTGTTAATACATATAGATAGTCAATCATCTACTCCAAAATAAAATGAAGGTTTGTTATTTAGAAATTTACAACACGAGCATAGGTATGTCTCCCGTTAGCTCAAATTGTAAATAGCTAAATACCAAATCCAAAAAAAAAACTACAACGTGGAGCAATAAAGAAATATAGTTCCATCTCCAACCATAATATCAATGACCTGTCAGATGTCAAATACGTGCCCAACTCATGGACTGAAATAGGTAAATGTCCAATACATGAACTGCACAAGCTTAAAGTCCAACACGAGGACTGTAATAGATTATAGTCCAACCCAATGACTTTAATGGATTATAGTCCAACACGAGGACTTTTCAATGGATTATAGTCCAACATGAGGAGTTCAATGGATTATAGTCCAACACGAGGACTTCAACATGAAAGTAATATAAAAAAATAGCATATTTACTATTCACTCTCGTGCCTCGGTGAGTGAATCTAAAACTCATGTCCGTAGTCAATCATATACACAAATCCCAGTGTATTATAATCCCATATAACCTAGGTGTCTCGCCAGCCACACAAACTTATGCAATAACATGAACGTGCAGAAATTTCCTAGCAGTCGACCGCGAAGAGATAGAAACCTTTCCTACAGATTTCTACTCCTCGAGGTTGATTCAAAAGCTATTATATGACGATTCTATATACTACAAATCCTATATATGTGATTTAGCATTTCAAGAATATGTAAAAGAAAAATACAATCTAATCACTATAGACAAAAAGAAACCTTTTTAAACACATGTATGCATGTCGACACATTTAAAAACAATTATCTTTCTTTCAAAATTCTTTCTAGAAAAATTTTTAGAACTAGTTCTGCATTAAGAAATTTTTGTATGATCTTTATTAACTGAAAACTTGTTCTTTTTGCAACATACAACATAAAGATCTATCTTTATACATAAAATAGCATTTTAGGCTCATAAAACACAGGAAAACTTTATTAAAAACGCCTAAAACATAGGTATAGGATTGGGCGAGATGAAACTCGCCTAAGGGGTGTTGATGAACTCCAAAACATGAGTGAGAACGATCCTCCTTTGCTGAACAACGATTGATCTCGCGTAAGCTCATCCAAAATCCTCCAAGAATCACCAAAGAAAGGGGGTTTAGGGTTTAAGAGAGAGAGGAGGGGGCTGAGGCTATTAGGGATTAAAAGAGGGTTCTGAGAGCTTTAAAATGGATATATATACTTAGGTATACTTCCGTGTTCACTATAAATAAAACCAACCCAAAACAGAGACAATCCTGACGTCTGCACGCCCAGTGGTCGACTGAAAAGAAACATGCACACAGGTTGGGGTTCGGTATATTGGCCATAACTTTCTCATCTGAACTTAGAATAAGGTGATTTAAGATTTGCTGGAAATCTATTAACGAGACCTACAACTTTTATCTTTTACACTATGTCAGATTCTAACTACATTAGTGCATAAAATATAGAAACTCATAACTGGACATAAATCTCGAATTGGTCCAAATATAGACGAAAACCCGGTTCATCAAATCTATGAATACCACGGGTGTATTGGTCAACCCAAATGGCATGGACAAAAACTCGAAGGACCCATATTGAGTCAGAAAGGTAGTCTTAAGAATATCCATCTCCCGAACCCGTAGCTAATGATAACCAGAACGAAGATAAATCTTTGAGAAATACTGCGCTCCCTATAGCTGATCAAACAAGTCATCAATCCGAGGCAAATGATATCTTTTCTGGATAGTGACTTTGTTCAACTCACAATAATTGATACATAATCACATACTACCATCCTTCTTCTTCACGAAGAGGACCGACACTCCCCATGGAGAATGACTCTGACGAATAAATCCCTGAGCTAACAACTCATCAAACTGGGTTTGTAGTTCCCTCATCTCAGTAGGTACCTTGAGGTAGGGTACTCGGGATATCGGGGTTGTGCCCGGCTACAACTCAATACAAAACTTAACCTCTCTCATAGGAGGCAACCCAGTTATGTCCTGAAAGACATCCTGATAATCTGAGACAACTCTAGTCTCACATATATCAACACTCTGATCCTGGAGCATCACCTCCTCGATGTATGCCAGTAATGACTCCGCAAACTGGTTCCCCTAAGAGGTTGCCATAACTAACTCGGACCCATAGGGCGCTCGCAAATTGACTGTTTTTGTAAAATAGTCGATACTGACGTGGTAGGAAGATAACCAATCCATATCAAGAATAACATCTAACTCTGACATGCGCAACACTATCAGACCAACAACAAACTCAGACTCATCTAAACTGATAATACACCTCCTACAAATGCTCTCTAAGAGCGATATCTCACCTAGAGGGGTGGAAACTGATAAAGGAATGCTCAGAGGCTAAGCTACAAGCTAAAGTCTAATCATAAATGCATAACATATGAAAGAATGTGAAGCCCCTGAATCAAAAAGAATATGAGCTGGAAAGGAGTTCACGAGGAACATACCCTCCACTACAGCCCCGTTCGCACCATGATCACGAGGGATTACCACACAGACTCTGCCGGTGGCTGGAGGCTGCTCTGCTGTTGGAAGTGGAGCATATTAGACTACCTGTCCCTGAGGGACCTCCTGAACTGCGTGAACATGTCCCTTAATTATCAGAACTACTGGCGCTGTCTCGAGTCTGATCTGCTAGCCCTGACCTCGGCCCTGAAATCGGTTCTGCTACTGATTTTTCCCTTTCCCTTTCTGGGCTCCTGCTGGTGCACTGAAACAGTCTGATGCTCTGTGGCCAATACCTGGCTAGGGCTAAGTCATGCTAGAAACATCTGTACCTAGCGTTCTCCAGTCTATCACATGCATATAAAGTGAAGTAGGCTCATAAATCTGCTCTCAAAATCAGCTACTGACATGTCTCCCTTTGTCAATCTGGACAACTCAAGTGCTTTCCTGACCCCTGCCGCGGAAGAGATATACTGCTCATCGAAAAAATAGACAAAGTCCTCCTAGGTGAGGGTCATCCTCTGTTCTGGGGTAAACTGTAGCTGGTACTATCTCCCTGCATCCCCATTAAGACTATAGGATGCTAGCCTCTGCTTCTGAACTGAAGTCATTAAGTATCTTAAGGGTGTTACCCACATCTTCCTTCCACTTATGTGCCACAAAAGAATCTGATAATCCCTTAAGTATCTTAAGGGTGTTACCCACATCTTCCTTCCACTTATGTGCCACAAAAGAATCTGATAATCCCTGAAACTCCGATACCCTCATATTTTGGCATCTCTCCACTAAGCGGAGCCAAGCCTCCTGCTCTATGATTCTATCAGCAACTGCCTGTGGGGTGGGTACGGGTGTGTCTTTTGGGAAATTTTTTGGAACAGGAATAGCTGGTATCACCGGTGGTGGAACTACTGGTGGTGGTGTGATGTGATTCGTCACAAGCCCCTCAATGCTGCCATCCTAGCAGAAATAGGAGCCATCAGGTCTATCAAATACCGTGGAGCCTACTGCGGCTTGGATGGAGCCTGCTGCGGCTCTGGTGGAGCTTGTTATTGCTCTGCCTGATCAGCTCTCCGGGTACAAGGTCTACCACGTTCGACCATCTAAGCATATAGAAGAAAGTTTATAAGTCCTCGAACGAGACATATATGGAATTTGTAAAGATAAGAAATTCGTATCATATATCATTCACGCAAATACTTTTAATATCAATGAATACTAGTCTCACAAAAAAAATATTCATAATTTTTGAATACACGTATATAACGTCCTCACTCATTCTAGAAGTTTCTAGCGGACTCTATACATGAATCTTAAGAAACTCTACTTAAACTCCACGACTCAACACAGGATGATCCTAAGGATACTGGAACTAGAGCTCTGATACCAACTGTGACACCCCTGATTTTAACAAGGCTACAGTCTAAGGTGAAACCAAGAATGTCAAACCTGTCATGCACTGTACCGTGCAATAGCATATTTTACCATCACAATTACTATCTATCTAGTAGAATCAACAATAGGTGTAGGTACAAAACAGGCTAGAGAAAATATACAGAAGAAATACTAAACGATAGGCATTCTAAAGAAATCATCACCACTGAAATAAATAGACCAATTTCTGAGAGAAATAACATCTGACTGAATACAAGTGTCTCGTCATAGGAAATCAAATGAAATGACATTTAGGCACATCGCCTTTACAAAACTAGAATAATAACTCAAATGTTCATAAACACATCTACTGTGGAGTTCTGACATAAACTACTAACAATATAGATAAATAACTGCTAGAATAACTCTATCAACCTACGACTCTTTGTGCACCTGGCTCATTACCTAAAAGAGGGGAAACAATGAGCGTTAAGCGCTAGCGAGTAATATCTCAACTAACTCCAGGGGGAAGGGCTAGAAGAATAAGAAAAATAGCTGTTAATATATATAGATAGTCAATCATCTACTCCGAAATAAAATGGAGGTGTGATATTTAGAAATTTACAACACGAGCATAGGTATGTCTCCTGTTAGCTCAAATTATAAATAGCTAAAGACCAAATCCAAAAAAACTACAATGTGGAGCAATAAAGAAATATAGCTCCATCTCTACTCAAAGTCGACACGTTTGAAAACAATTATCTTTCTTTCAAAACTCTTGTTAGGAAAATTTT